AGCCTGGCCAGAAGGGTTTCTTGAATAACCATGATGCTATCATCACACAGCAGCCGATTTGAGGACTGAGTGAGTTAGCAGGTGGAAAACCCCAGGCCCGGCTTGTGGGAAGCTAGCACTGGCCATTTCCACCCAAGTCACCCAGCCCATCACGGACCTGGTTCCCTCTCCACCTCCTCCCCTTCTCCAGGCAGCAGTACACACACTGGCACCCTAGGGCTCATCCACCCAAGCCCTTCTCCGGCAGACAGACCACACCCAGAGAAGGAGATTGTCATGGCCACGGGCAAGGGTGTTGGCCTATGGGGTAGAGCCCAGTGCCTTGGGTTCCCCTTCCACCTGGCCAGGGCTGCGGCTGGAGCCTCACCAGTCGTCCAGGCGCTGCTGCAGCTCTGGGAGGAAAAACTGGGCGTGGAACTGGTAGATGGAGGAGATGTTGGAGAAGATGACCCTGACCACGTCCTCGGGGAAGGCCTTGCTGCTGCGGGCCGCCCTCAGCAGCTCCTGGAAGAACACCTGCAGCCACGTCCCTGGTCACTCGCTGCGGGAGGAGGCAGCCCCTCTCCCCACCAGCCCAGGGGGAACCAGGGGCCCCCTCATCCAGCTTGCTGAGGGCTTTCACCTCCCTAATCTCCCGGCATCCTTAGAACAGCCTTGAGAAGAGACAGGAAGCGTGTATTCTGACCACTTTACAGAGGGACAAGCCAAAGGCAGTCATCTGATGAATGTCACAAATGGACCCATGTGGGTCTGGGGAGGTCTTGGCCTTGACCAGGCTAAAGCGCCCTGCTCCATGAGTAACCCTCCAGCCTTAGGCTCCTCAGAAAAGCAAGAAGGGTGGGCTGGCAGTGAGGAGGACAGGCACTGGGGTGACGGATGAGGATGCTGGGGGTCCCCGCAAGTTCTGGCTGGCATGTACTCTGCTGGACGTGAGGCGGGCCGAATGGGGTGTGTTGCCAGTGGGCTACATTCTGACGTCTACTCCAGCCACAAGCAATGGGTTAAAGCCCTAAGCCTTCCTAGAGTCCAACCAGGGGTCCTAACTCAGCTCTGGGGAGGCAGCCAGGGCAGGGGTGGGGTGAGATCAAGCCGGCGCTGGGGCTTGGGAGGGGGCGTCCTAGCCTGGTCTAGCAGGTGGAGGCGTGCCACGTAGGCCTGCTCCGTCTCCAGCAGCTCCCGGACGATCCTCTTCTCCTCAGGCTCCTGCGGGGATTGAAGAGGAGAGAAGGAGAAGGGAGGACAGCGATGGTGTCTCCTCCAACAGGGACCTCGGCTCAGCCTCCAGATGCCCAGGGAAACACACCTCTCTGACACACCTCCTGCAGTACATCTGGGTTGGCCCTGGGATGACTTTTTCAGAGAATGGGGCCTGTAGGAGTGTGCCAGCTCCAAGCCTTAAGAGGCCTGGGAGCTGTGAACCACCTGTCAAGAGGTCTGGCTGCTCTGATGGAGAGACCTCGTGGACAGGCCACACAGAGAGGAGAGGCCTGGGGACTACCTGGATTGGGAGTGAGGGCCCGGTTATGCCAGCATCCCAGCTGAGCTCAGACTTCTGGCTGTCCCTCCAGGATACCAGACCTGTGAGTTGAGCAGTCTTGGGCACTCCAGTCCCAGCCACCATCTCAGCTCTGTGAGGGACCCTGCTCTGAATGAAATTGTGCCTCCTCCATTCATATGGGAATCCCTAGCCCCCAATGTAACCATGTCTGGAGATGGGACCTTTTAGGAGGCAATTAAGGTTAAATGAGGCCATAGGGTGGAGTGCTAAACTGATAGGATTGGTGTCAGAAGAGGAAGACACCAGGGATGTGTGTGCCAGAGAAAAGGCCATGGGAGGACCCATCAAGAAGGTGGTTGTTTATAAGCCAAAAAGAAAGACTTCCCTGGAAGCCAAACCTTCTGGCCCCTTGACCTTGGTCTTTCAGAGAAAATAAATCTCTGTTATTTAAGTCGGTGGTATTTTGTTACGGCAGCCCAGGCAGACTCATGCAGATCCCAAGTGAGACTAATGGAAGGACTGTCCAGTAGCATCCCAGCCAACCCACCAAATTGTGAGAAACAAGAAATGGTTATATTCAGCACCTACATGTCGGGGTGGTTTGTTATGCGGTGATGGATAACCAGGACCCATGGCTATGACCTCCATCCCCACTTTATAGATAAGGAACCTGAGGCAGGAAGAGGTTAAAGTGACCTGCTCAAGGTGGCACAGTGAATATGCAGAAGCGTCGGGATGTGATCCCTGGGGATCTGGCTCGGGGGTATGCAGTATCGTGCATTCTAGCCCTTGAACTCTATACACAGGAAACTGAAACCTATGAAGGGAGACAGTCTGCTCCGGATCAGGCCCAGCTTTAGTCTAACGGCAGGAAAATGAACATTCAGGCGTCTATTCCTACTTTGGGATAGATGTCTCCTCCCAGAGGATAAACTGAGGCCTCATGTGGGCAAGGTACCAGGTTCACGAGATGGAGACTGTTCCAAGCTATGTGGCCTTCAACAAGTGCCCTAAGCTGTCTGCATTTATTTACTTATTTTTATTTGCAGAGACAAGGTCTCACTATGCTGCCCAGGCTGGTCTTGAACTCCCGGGCTCAAGCAATCCTCTCACCTCAGCCTCCCAAAGGGCTGGGATTACAGTATAAGCCTCCATGCTGAGCTAGGCTGTCTGCATTTCAATTTCCTTGCCCAAAAGCTGTCACAGAGAGGAGGGACGTAGGGAATGCGGCAGGGTGCATAGCAGACTGTTAGCCAAAGGCCATGAGCGGGGAGAATCTAGCTCCCAGCTGACCTCTGGTCACACCAGACCCCCATCTGGGGAGCTGCTGGCTCTGGTTGGAGGGAGACGAGGGGAGAAGAGGTCAGTGGAGAGCCCCCTCCCCCCCAGCACCCCACTTCCACCCCACCCTTCCGGCACCTGCAGCCCTGACCCGGGGCAGGACCCAGGCTGGCAAGCTTTTCTCCAGGCTCCACTGGACAGCTTGTTCTTCAGGGAGCTCAGGTACCTCTTGCTGACAGTCCTGGGCTCGGGACCCATGGCCTCCCCTACATCGGGCTTCTTCCGTGGCCCCAGGAGCTGGGGAGTCCTGTGCTCCAGACTGTGGGCCCCAGGTGTGGCTGAGGCAGACCTGAGGAGAAGTGACAGACCTGAGGGCTTTCTGAGAACAGTGAGAATAGCAGCATGTCCCTGGTGGGAGTTGATGAAAATCACTGGGAGTGAGGGGGCAGGGTGCCTGGCTCTCTGTAGAAACTTGCTAAGTAAGAGACTTTCACTTCTATCCCAACGTTTTTCTTGGTGGGAACGCCAGTCTTCAAAATGAGTCAGCATGGATTCTGTTTTATTCTCTGGGGAACCACATAGTTCCCCGTTTGAAATGCAGCCCACCCAGGAACCCCTCCTTCTGCACACAGAAGTTTTTAAGTGGCTCCCCCCATCACCTTCCCCTTTGGACTTCATCCTTGTTATTAGTTTCTGCGTGAGTAAGCTATTCATGGAGGGAAGGTGGGAGCCATGGAGCAATCTAAAGCGAGAGCAGAGCTGCTATAACTGGGGATTTTCGATGGGAGCTCTGCCCACCTCATCTCCAGCTGGGGAAACAGCCAGCCTGGAGGCAGATTCCCTGTTCTCCGAGGGATGGGCCTTCCTAGGACAGCATTGTTACCCTGCGGGTTGGGTCTGCAAGCTAGTTCTATCCTTTATTTGTTTTTGTTTTTTTTTGAGTTGGAGTCTCACTC